ATCTTTGCCCAGGCACTCAGCTCTGACCCTGCTCCTTCCCAGCTTTACTGTCCTCTCATCCTCTTGCCTCAGCCCCATGGTGAATGCCCTGAGTCAGCACATTCTCTTGCAGGTGGCCCCTTTCTGTCAACTTCTCAGCTGCATTACAAGATTCAGGGCAGATTTTCCTCTTTGGTCACTTTTCTTCTGTGTGTCCCATATCTGGCCAGACTGCCAGTCACCGAATTCCTTTTGGAATCTCTCGTGTCTGTGTTGTGTAGGCTCCTACTCTGTTTCTAGATTTTTGCAGTGAGTAGTTCTTTTTCCTCCTTAAACCATTGCTTTGCGGAATGCTCCCCTTTCAGTGTTTTTTGGTGATACAGTGCATTTCCCATTGCCTTGAATCTGGTCTCTTCTTCCTGGCCTTGGGAGCCCTCCTCTTGCTCCTTCCTACTGTAGTGAGCCCAGACTCCTGACTGGTGAGTCCAGGCCTAAGGCTTGCTTGCCTCACGTCCCTCCATTCTTTTTCCTCAGCTGATTCACACCCAGTCTCAAGGCCCAGTTCAGATCCATTGATCTTTTCTCCTCTGGACTATGTGTATGTGTTGTGTGGCTCATTGTTAATTACATCTTGTATTATATCACAGGCATTCATCGTTACTCCTCACCTAAATTTGTCAAATTAGAGAAACCATTTTTGCCTACAGCACTGTGCTTAATGTAGTTTGCTACCAGTCAGAGATCTAGGGTTTTATCTTTTATCTGTATACTTGTAATTGATGGCTTTAGTTTTTATATACTTATCAAATCTAAAGTCATCTTAAGACAAGCATTATCATAATTTATTAAACTTCCAGGTCAATTTAAAAGTTTGTAGTACATATTATTAAACAGTTATTGGAATAATTATGTTAATGGAAATGATCATCCTGTCCTGATGATCCCTGGAGTTGTCTGTGCCATCTAGACATAAACAACTGCACTGTGCCTGTGTGGTTTTTCAACCATACAACATTGTGGGTCATTTTTCCTGTTTTAATGAAAGCAGTCATCTTCAGGAGTAATTGGCTGCTAAGAAGATGTATGTGGAGCCATTCGGTGATGCCAGCTCGACAACAGGTGGTTCTGAATCTTTGTTTCCCTGTTGGCAACACCTGCCATTCCACATGGCTTGTGCCCGCAGCCCTCCAGGTTTAGGACTTTAGTTGGGCACCACAGCACTCTTGGGTTCTTCAGGCTTTCCATCCATAGTCTAAGGGAGGTGGCTTTGTCCAGCAGGAGTACCTACTTTAGAATCAGAAGACACAAGGTAAGTCCAGACTCAGCCACATGTTCCCTGTCACTCTTACATGCCCCTGAGGGAGGTTGGTGAGCTTGCTGAAGGGCTGTTTAAGGTGATCAGTAAGTCGGTAGTCTGCTTGGGGCTAATCCTGACCCACTGCACAGGAACTCAGAAAGAACAACAGGCAGCCTCTTCCTAAGGCCACACCTCTCCAGCCTGGGTGATCTGGGACGGAGGTGGAGCTGGGGAAAGGGGAGGGAAGGCCGCATGTTCTGTATGGATTTTAAAACCTGTATGTCATTTAGACAGAACCTAATCTATTGGTTGTAAGAAGAAAAGTGCAGGGATGGGGTGGGGTGCGGTGGGGGCAACCCTTTATGATGAGAGCAAAGCTGCTTTGTTTGAAGGGAAAGGACTGTTCACTTTCTCGTCGGTGACATGAAACCCCTAATGAGCCGTGTTTGAAAACTGTTCATCTGTTCCAAACATATAATTTTATAGTTGAATCAAATGAATCCCAGAGTAGTAAAATGCATGATTGTTGGAGAACAAGATGGGCTCCCAAGTCTCTTGGTTCCTGATGTAATTATTTCCTTATGATACCAATCTGTATAAGTCTTTCACTAAATAATTTCTATAGTGCTTTTAAAAAATATAATTATCTATAATAAACCAAGTTTCAAGATTAAAATTATAGCTAGTGTTCCTTGTATATATGTGCAAAGGCGAGACATAGCAGTAATATTTTCAGACCATGACTAAGCCAGGACTTCCTTAGCATATATGTGTGTTAGTAATCATAGCATATTTATGAAGCCAAACAGAAAATGTATTTGTTAATATATTATGAAGCAGGTTTGTTATAAGGACATTTATCACTTTTTAAATGGAATTAAAACTTCCCATGCAGAACCTGATGAAATTTCAAGACTAAGCAAGTTCCATGCTAGACATATTTTTAAAATTATAAAATCCGTTGAAATAAATGCAACTTCCAACTTAACAAAGCTGCAGTGAGTCATTCTGATTTTCGGCTTCCTTAGGGATTCTGCTACCAGTGCAGAGCTGGGAAGAGACATGTGTAACAGGCCCACAGTGCGCCTGCTTCACACATATGGGCCTGGGTCTGCTCTTACTCCAGGCTACTACTAGGGGTGGCTGCATTCTCCCTGGCAACCCTGGGCCCCAGTGTGCTTATTGTGTTGCCATCCATTTTCCTAACTGCACAGCACTTGTCTGCTTATTTGATTGCTTAGTTTTCTGCGTACTGTCCCTACCAAAGAAGAGAGGCCTCACCTCGTGTGATCTGTTGCTCTCTCTCTTTAAACAGTATCCGAAACAGCTGAATAAAGTCAGAAGAAGAAATGAATGAAAGAATGGTTCTGTATCCATCTGTGTTGTCCCAAGATGCTAATTCTGTTGACCCACCTTATTCAGTTTGAGTTTCCTTTGACACTAGTTTTGTTTACAACTTAGATTGCCTTAAACCATTTATGTCGATGCATTTATATCCATACAACAAGAAGTATTGCACAAGTGTTCTTGTTAAATGTGTGTGTAACCTTGCTTTCTTGTTTTTACCTGTCTCTTAATTCAACCTGGCCATTTTAAATTAGTAATGAGGGCCGGGTGCAGTGGCTCAAGCCTGTAATCCCAGCACTTTGGGAGACTGAGGTGAGCAGATTGCTTGAGCCGACAGGTTTGAGAACAGCCTGGGCAGCTTGGTGGAACCTCCTGCCTACAATAAATCAAAAATTAACCGGGCATGGTATCACATGCTTGTAGTTTTGGCTACTTGGAAAGCTGAGGTAGAAGGATCGCCTGAGCCCAGCGGGTCGATGCTGGGGTGGCCATGAATGTGCCATTGCACTCCAGCCTGGGTGACAGAGTGAGACTCCAACTCAAAAAAATAAATACATTAGTAATGCACCTACATTCCTAAACTGATTATGGGTATCAACTTTTGTTTCGTAAGAGTCTGTTTCTGTTTTTAAAAACCAGTTGTGAGTCTTTGACCCTTGAATCTAATCTAACTGTTATCTTCATGTTTTACTCTTGTTCATGTTATAATCGCAGAATTCTGGATATTAAGAAAGAGGGTTTAGAAATAAGGGCTTAGAAATAATATTAGCTCAAATGGCATAAGTCAACCTTTCATACCTGTGAAATTGAAAGTTACCCATGAATTGTCAATTTTGATTGACTGTGCTGGTTCTTCTCAGTTTTATATGAAATAACTGTACTCATAATCCACATCATACTTCCCAAAATCTTTACGTTCTTTTTTGGTTCTCATAACAGCCCTGAGAAGTGGAGCTGTAAGATTCCCATGGTAATGAGAGAACTATTAAGAGATTAAATAGGCTGGACGTGATGGCTCAAACCTGTAATCCCAGCACTTTGGGAGGCTGAGGCAAGAGGAATACCTGAGCCTGTGGGTTCAAGACCAGTCTGGGCAATGTGGCGGGACCCCGTCTCTACCATAAATAAAAAAGTGAGCCAGATGTAATAGTGTGCGCCTGTAGTTTCGGCTACTTGGAAGGCTGAGGCGGAAGGATCGCCAGAGCCCAGCAGGTCGAGGCTGGGGTGGCCTTGAGCGTGCCACTGCACTGCAGCCTGGGTGACAGAGTGAGACTCCAACTAAAAAAAAAAAAAAAGAGAGAGAGAGAGAGAGAGAGAGAGAAATTAAATAACTAAAGCTCAAAAAATTAGAGTAAACTAGCCAAGGGGACTAAGACTAGAGCTAAAGTTCCTAGCTTGGTATTTTTTCAAGACACAAAACAGAGTAACAAAAGAAGTCAACATAGTTTTTATATGTGTCTATAAATTACTTTAGAAGTACAAAGATAAAATATTGCATTATGAAAATTTTAACATGGTCTAATAAAATTTTAATACATGGGCCAACACATAGTAACACTAAGCTTTATGTTCATTTGAAATGAATAAAAGGATACATTTCAGCAAAGTAAGGCAAACAAGATAGATGCTAACTATGACAGCGCAAAAATTTTCAAAAGTTCATGCATTAGATTTACCTTTACAAGTTTGTAGTCAAGAATAATTAAATTGTATTTTAAGTAAACTCTACTGTTTCCAAAAATTATTTTGATCTTGAGTGAAGAATGGTGAACACAATCTTAATATACTGTTTTTGACTTTAAAAGTTTTAGAATTACAGAAAATTTCAAAAATAATATAGAATTTATGTATACCCTTCTGCCAGCTTCCCTTAATGTTAACAGTACAATAATTGTTAAACAATTATCAAAACAAGAAAATTAACATTCCAATAGTGTTTTAATTGTACACATGTAATTAATAGAAGGAACTAGTGCTACTCCAGTACTTAGGTATATTTTTTTACCAGTAATTATAGCACAAAAAATCAAAAACTTACTGTTTTAACAGAATTATAAACAGCACTAATTCATAAATTTTACCTGTTTTTTTCTTGCCATTATGCGTCTTAATTTGAACCATAACATACATAATTTTTAAAGGAACTTAGGAAGTTCTCAGCTAATGGCAGTATTCAAGCTGATTGTAAAGGATATGTTTATATTATTCCAGATTCTCCTGGTCTAGCTCAGCATGCATAATATCCTATTCTAGTGAGATGGCTTCTTTCCAGAGGTGGGCAACTGAGTGTTTTTTGCCCTTATTAAAACTTCTAAAATGCTATACTTTGTAGGGATATTTTTAGTTGTTCATCTGTGGATTGGTGGATATTTTTTGTTGTTCATCTGTGGATTGGTGAATCAGGTCGACTAGATAATGATATTGAGTATAACATGAGAATTATGTCTTTCTTATTAATGACAAATGCAACTACTACAAATATATGAGTAAAATTTATAAATGACAAAGGAAAGCTTGGAATTACTTGATATTTTGTGGTTTAAGAACAATACTTGAGTATGATCTTATGCATGAAAATGTGTAAGGTGGTATTTCTCTGGTTTTAATATAATTGTTTTCAAGATGAAGATGTTCCAGATTTGAGTCATCATCCTCTTCAGCATTGCAAATTTGCTCTGGAAGAATATTCCTGAGGAGAAATAGACATGCAAGTCACACATGGTCCAAGTAATAATCTGCTTTCATTTAGGAGTTAAGTTTTACATTTGTTTAATAAATTATTTTGTTCTTAAAATAAAGTTGGATCTATATACCTTATACATCAGAATAAATTCCAACTATATCAAATATCTAAATGTGAAATAGGAAGCCATAGACGCACTATAATGGACCGTGGTCACATCCTGTGGCTTGGGGAAATTTTCCTATTTGTGATTTGAAAAACCAGAAGCGCTAAAAAGAAAAGATTTATACATTGACAATAGCTTTATTTATTTATTTGTTTGTTTGTTTTGAGTTGGAGTCTCACTCTGTCGCCCAGGCTGGAGTGCAGTGGCACGTTTCCGGCCACCGCAGTCACAACCCTTCTGGGCTTCGGCGATCCTTTCGCCTCAGCCTTCCAAATGGCCAAAACTACAGGAGCGTGCTACCATGCCTGGCTAATTTTTTGTTTATCGTAGAGACAAGGTCTCACCAAGTTCCCCGGGTGGGTCTTGAACCCATGGGCAATCCACTCGCCTCGGCCTCCCAGAGTACTGGGATTATAGGCTGAGCCACCCAGCCCAGCGACAATAGCTTTAAAAAAAAAAAAAAAAAAAAAATTCGAGCCAGGCTCGGTGGCTCAGCCTGTAATCCCACACCTTTGGGATGCTGAGGTGAGTGGATTGCCTGAGCCCGCGGGTTCGAGACCCGCCTGGGCAGCGAGACCTCATCTGTACAATAAATCCAAAAAAAAAAAAATCAGCCGGGCGTGGTAGCGCATGCCTGTAATTCCAGCTACTTGGAAAGCTGAGGTGGAAGGATCGCCAGAGCCCAGCCGGTCAAGGCTGCGGTGGCCGGGAGCAGCCACTGCACTCCAGTCTGGGTGACAGAGTGAGACTCCAACTCAAAAATAAATAAATAAATAAAAAATAAAAAAATAAGAGGGCCAATTAAACAGAATAAGTAATCATCTTCAGTTTCTATACATATAAGTTCAAAACATATAAAACAAAATTTGACAGAACTAGAAGGAGAAATAAGCGAATACACAATTATAGTTGGAGATTTTTAATCACACTTCTCTCTGTAACTGATACAAAAAGGAAATAAAAAATCAATAAGGCTATAAGAATTTGAACATGATTGACCAATTTGACATAACTAACATACATAAAACACATCTCCCAACAACGGCAGGATACATATTTTTTTCAAATGCACATGAAGTATTTACCAAAATAACTCATATTCCGTGCATTAAAGAAAACCTCAACAAAGTTCAGAGTATTGAAATTGTACAAATTATGTCCTCTAAGCACAATGGCATTAACCCAAAAACCAATAACAGAAAAATAACCAGAAAATCCTTGGATGTTTAAAACATAAGCAACATATTTCTAAAAAATTCATGAGTCAAAGAATAAATCACAATAAAATTTGGGAAATATTTAGAACTAATGATGATGAATATGAAATGTACAATACAGCTAAAGTAGTACTTAGAGAGAGAAATGTATAACTTTAAGTGTGTATATTAGAAACAAAGAAAGTTTGCAAATTGGTAATCTAAGCTTCAAACTCAAGAAACATGGCCAGGTGCAGTGGCTCACGCCTGTAATCCCAGCACTTTAGGAGGTGGGGGTGAGAGGATTCCCTGAGTTCAGGGATTTGAGACCAGCCTGAACGACATGATAAGACCTTGTCTGTACAATAAATCCAAAAATCAGCTGAGCATAGCGGTGCATACCTGTAGTCACATCTACTTCGAAGGCTGAGGCAGAAGGATCACCTGAGCTCAGCAGGTCGACGCTGTGGTGGTCATGAGCGTGCCACTGTACTCCAGCCTGGGTGACAGAGTGAGACTCCAACTCAAAAAAAAAAAAAAAAAAAAATTCAAAGTTAGACAAATGACAAACAAGGAAAAAATATTTGTAATTTATATCACAGATAAAAGGCTAACAAAGAAAGACCTTCCAAAAATCTAGGAAGAAAATGTAAAAGAACAAAAAAAGATAAAAATAACTGGGTAACCAGTTCACATAAGAATAAATGAAAATGATGTGTAAACATGAAAAGATGTTCAAATTCATTCATAAGAAAAATGCAAATTGAAACTTTACTGGCATATTACTTTTCATTTAATCAGATTTGCCTTAAAAAGAGTCCAAAAGCTCATCCACATATTCTGATGATGAATCTGGGAGGATCAAAAGTGACTGAAGGAAATGCAAAATGGTGCATCCCCTGTGGAGAAGAATTTGGCAATAGCCAGAAAAGTCATACATGCATTTTACTCTTTTCACCCAGCAGTCCCACTTCTAGGAATCTATCCCAAAGTTAAACCGGGAAAGTACAAAATTACATTTATACAGTTATTCATTGTGGCATATTTCTAGTAATTAAATATCTATCAGTAAGGAACTGATTAAATAAAATATGGTACATCCACATAAGATTCAGTTGTGAAAAGGAATGAGGAAATTCTCTATATACAGATATGGAATGATTTACTGATAATTTTACAAAGCAATGAGTAGGAAAAAAGGCGCACACCCACAATGCATGTATATTGTATGGTTTGGTTGACTCCTCCAGATCTCCTGTTGAAATCTGATCCCCATGTGGGAGGTGGTACTCAATGGGAGGTATTTAGATCATGGGGTGGCTCGCTCATGAATAGATTAATCTCCTCCCTGGGGTGAGTTCGTTCTTGCTCTGTTAGTTTATGGGAGGGCTGAATGCTTAAAAGAACCTAGCACCTCCCCCTCTCTCTTTTGCCTCCTCTCTTGCCATGTGATCTTTGCACACATAGGCTCCCCTCTTCTTCTACCATGAGTGGAAAGCAGCTTGAGTCCCTCACCAGATGCCGATGCCATGTCATGCTTCTTGGATAGCCTGCAGAAACATGAGCCAAATAAACCTCTTTTACCAGCCTCACGTCTTTCTTTATAGCCTCGCAAATGGGCTAAGATATATGGAGAGACAGAGAATGCTCCTTTTGTGTAATAATCTGTATAATAATTATGGGTAGGAATGGGGAAAATGTATATATATGTACATATGCTTATATTTGCAAAAATATTGGAAGAATAAACTAAAACTTAAAAAGTTTAACCAATGGAAAGTATCATATAGGGTATAAGGGGTAATCATAGAAACACGACTTCTTAATATACCTTGTTACACAGTTTTGACTTTGGAATCGTACAAATGATTAACATAGTCAAAAATATTATTAACTCAAATAGAAAAATGCAACTCCTAAAACCAAAAACAGACTAAATATCTTATCTGAATATTAAGTTGATGACATCTTTTTACAGAGAAAACCACTGTATTTCAGCTTTCTATCCTTGGTGGAACATATTCTAAAGACAAATAAATGTACCCCAAAAATCATAAACTTAATTCAAAGCTTTGCTATTAGTAGTAATAATGATATTGTCACTTTCAAACTATTGTTTACGTATTGTAAGATCATGAAACTAAGCGAGGTGTGGTGACTGATGCCTGTAATCCCAGCACTTTGGGAGGCCAAGGCGAGAGGATTGCCTGAGCCCATGGGTTGGAGACCAGCCTGGGCAACTTGGTGAGACATCGTCTCTACAATAAATCAAAAACTTAGCTGGGCATGGTGGCACATGCCTGTAGTTCCAGCTGCCTGGAAGGCTGAGGAGGAAGGATTGCCTGAGCCCAGCAGGTCAAGACTGTGGTGGCCGTGAGCATGCCACTGCACTCCAGCCTGGGCGACAGAGTGAGACTGCAACTCAAAAAACAAAACAAAACAAAATACGGAATTTCCTGGCAGTCCTTAAAAGACATTGAAACAATAGCAACACAATTAAAAGGAGCACTTTTGCTGCCTTCTTGGGGCTTCTAAATACTGTTCCCCACGGAAAGGAACTGGAGTCTTTGGAGGATAGTCTGCAATAGGGGACGCAGAGTCTGAGCCTGAGGCCTATGTGTCCAAAGGCAAGTGAGCAGGTATAGGAAAGGGTGACTGCTGGCCAAAGGAAGGACAGTGTAAGGATATGACTGCAATCGATTTAAACATGCTGCTTATATGAAAGCATCCATGTGTATTCTCCAAAACCAGAGAGAACCCCAAGACCGAAGGCAGGCTCCGACTGGCGGTGAGCTTCTGTCTTGCCTGTCCGAGTTACGAGGCAGCCCTTGTTGACCAGCAAAGACACTTCCAGCTAATGAGCGTGGGAGGAGCGGCAAGAATGAGGAAATCATCATCTTGTCGCCACTAATGCGATATCGGGCTCGAACGGCAGCCGCCTGTGAGTAAAGCCTTGCTTCGCTGGTGGAGGGTGCGTTTGTCATGAGGAACGCCAGGTTGCAGCCACCCAACCCCACTGATAAGTTCTGTAATCGCTAAAAGTGGGACAAACTTCATATGCTCTCTGATGCAGCATGACACGGAGCATGTAGCACGACCTGGGTTTTCGCCAAAAAACTTTGAAACCAAATCTTACAAAGTCTCCCCAAGCCCCCATCTCTGTCCCCAACGCTTTTAACAATTCCAGCTTTTCCGGGGTTTTTTTAAGTGTTGATTTTTATCTGGGATTTTAGAACAGGGCAGAGACCAAGAGGTATAAGCCTCAGGTACAGAGCGACAAGGCTCTTGTCTCCTTATCGCCAGTGGAAGGACCACACTGACAAGCTAGTCCAGGTTAACCCTCCAGACCGCCAGGCTGTCTGAGCAGAGGCGACGACTTAGTAGGTAGGCCAGACACACACAGAAGCGTGTGTTCCCGGACGTGGGAAAAGCTGGGCCGCGATACTCGTTTTCGGAAATCCGCCTTCGGCCTGGCACGGTGGCACAGTGGCTTGTGCCTGCAATCCCAGCACTTTGGGAGGCAGAGTCTAGAGGGTTACTTGATTTCACGGGGTTGAGACCAGCCTGGGCAGCTTGGCGAGGCCTCGTCTCCACAAGAGACCAAAAACTTAGCTGGGCATGGTGGTACGTGCCTGCGGTTCCGGCTACTCGGAAGGCTGAGGCAGAAGGATCGTCTGAGCCCAGCAGGGCGAGGCTGCGGTGGCCGGGAGCATGCTATTATACTCTAGCCGGGACACCAGAGTGAGACTCCAATCAAAAACAACAACAGCAACAGAAAAAAGCACAAAAATTTGCCTTCAGAAACATCTAGGTGGAAGCAATTTTCATTTTAATGTATATTTAGCTTTTGTGCTCTACAGATTCGTTTTTTCAATATATGGAGGTAGGAATAATAGCATAATCTTTTCATTGCTTTGAAACTTATTGAATCTGTCTCAAAAGCACTAAGTATGATTAATACTCTGGGTTTTTTTTTTTACTATGGAAATTTACAAACATTGCAGAAGTAGAAAAAAATTATACTGCATCCTCGTGTACCTATCACCCAGCTTCAATAATTAATAACGTTTGCCAGTCCTGTTTAATCCAACCTCTTAGCACCTTTTTGTCCTTAAAGTAAATCCCGAAGATCATATCATAGTTGTTTAATCATATGCTTTGTCAACTACAATTTAAGTTGCTACTTGAATGAAGCCTAAACTTACCGTATCTTGTTGTTGTTCAACCTCAGAAAATGTAGTGCTTTCATTTCTTGTATCCCAGGTGGTATAGATTTTAAGTCATTGTGATCCAGAAATAATTCTCTCAAAGAATGATATGCCCCATAGAATGAGACACGGTCCACACCATCATCAGCGAGCTTGTTAAATGACAGGTACAAGTATTCCAGGCCTGGCTCCATGTGGCCAAACACATAGCCAGGTATCCGTTCAATCTGGTTTCCGATGAGCCCGAGGTGCAACAAGGACTTGGGTAGATAGGAGGGGACGTGATAGAACTTGTTGTAGGAAAGGTCGATGGCATCCAGATTTCTGCAGCAAAGAAGAAAGTAAACAGCAGGCGGCAACAGGATAGTGACCATCAGCTCTACTTTTTTTTTTTTTGAGTTGGAGTGTTACTCTGTCCCCCAGGCTGGAGTGCAGTGGCACACTCATGGCCACCACAGCCTCAACTGCTGGGTTCAGGTGATCCTTCTACCTCAATCTTTCAAATAACTGGAACTACAGGCACGCGCCACCACATCTGGCTAATTTTTTGATTTATTGTAGAGATGAGGTCTCACCAAGTTGCCTAGGCTGGTCTTGAACCTGTGGGCCCAGGCAACCCTCTCACCTTGGCTTCGCAAAGTGCTGGGATTATAGGCGTGAGCCACCGTGCCTGACCCAGCTCTACATTTTGACAAGGCCAGTCTTGATGCTGGTCCATTTTCCTATAAGCACCCAGTTTGTGGTGATGATTCTTAAAATGAGTTTTTTTAGGTGTAGCCAGCCTGAGTGTGTTGCTTACTAGTGCACCATACTGCCTCCTAGCTATGTGAGTCCAATAGAAGGGGGCACTAGAGACCAGGAGGGAAAAATTCATATCCCTGGGTAGTAATAGAGAGGCCCCAAGACCAAAATATCTGTAAGGTTGATCTGTTGAATTCCATCCCAAACGAAATCCAGGAGTTCCAGCCTTCATCTGAATGCCTGTCCCTGAAGTTCTCTGATTTCAGCAAAGAAGTTTGGTGTTTTGCTTGTTTCGGTCCCAGTCCCCACATTTTCATTCCACATTTGGCCAATGACCTGGCACACCTGGGACTTGGGGGTACGCCTGAGGGAACTAAAAAATCTTAATCAGCCAGAAGATCTGGGAAACGTGGTGAGCTTACTGACTTGTTTCAGGAGCTTCGTCTGAGTCTCCTGAGGCTTCTGGCCCATTCCCTCTTTTTGCCTGATGAAGACTCTCCTCCGTCCACAGGAGAATTTGTCCCACATGCTGCTGAACCCAATTGGCCTCTCCATCTGCTTCTGAGTGACACGTGTCCCAGGCTGTGCTACTCATGCATGTAGGTTCAGGACATACAACCCAGGGTCCAGGTCATCTGCTGAACTTGCTGCCAAGGCTTGCCTCTGACTCCCTCTCCCTCCACTGAAGACTGGCCAGAGGCTGCTGATTCCTATTCAAGAAGATAAAGTCTACTCTCTTGCCTCTGCTCTCAGGCCAAGCTTACGTCTGTTTTGTAAAACTTGAGATGAAGAAGTAGTCTGGAGGAAAGACAGTGCGGCATAGGAGGACAGGCCTGGGGACTGGAACCTTATGCTTCCATCTAATGAGGAGGAGGAGTATGGCAGATTTCTTCCTCACACCGCGGGGGGGCATCACATTTAAACCTCCTAGCAACTTGTGAAGTAGAAAGAGCTAGGGTGTTATCTGACAGTTACGGTCAGACTTCAGGAGCTCAGTTTTTACTAACTCAGCACTTGGTTCGTGGTAGGGTGTCCACGAGGCAGTATGGTGGGCAATGGTAGTAATCCTAACACCAGTCATGTAATTGCAGTTTTGGAAACGGCATGGAGTTTGAGGACTGGACAACTGTCGAGTTCGCTGAGAAAGGGTTTCGTCTCTGAGCCCTTGGGTGTCATCACCTCCCTCAGCTGTCCTGTTCCTGTTTTCATACTCAGTTTAATAACGGCAAAAGGAAGAAATAGCCCAATAAAGTTAAGTTGAAGCACATACTTACTCTTGATTTATCCAGGCTAGAGGAGCAATCCTGTCTTCTTCAATTTTATTATGGCGTAGTACAATGACATTGATCTTTCTTGTATGATTGAAACAAATTTCATTTATTTCTTCAATTTGATTATTTTCTAGATATAATTCCTGTAAGTAAGAGACAAGACTATTTTTCTTTTGTGTTTGCTGATAAATACATTCAATTTCTTAGAGACTAAATGGTAACGTAGACTAGTACTATCTAGAGTCTTTACTGCTCTTTCAAGTGAGTTCATACTTTTAAGTCATCAAATTTTAAAACAAATTAGTAAAATAAAATGTACTATCTGTCATGGTTATAGGGTTAAATTTTATTAATTTTTTTTTTGCTATTGTGTTACAAGTGACTACAATAATTGTAGAACACTTTCTATTTTACAAAACTTATTCACATAAATTATCTCATTTGGGCTTCAAAACTCAGGAAAGCAGGTAGAAATTCTGTCCCTACTTATCAGTGGAGGACTTCAGGCCTGGAGAGACAGGGAAGGCTTGCCCAAGGTAGCACAGCTGATGCTGAGACAGGCTCCTCCTGGGGCATGCAGTCTGTAAATTTTTTAGGCTCAAGTTTTTATACTTGCTTGTGTTATAATTAAAGTTAATTAAGAGCCTTAATTTAGGACCAAGGCAAAGTTTGCTAGAACTATTAGTAAGCTATTAACAGCTACCTGCCTTCAAGTTAGAACCACCTCATGAACTTTTTGAAGCGTAAATTCCAACCTAAATGTGCCCCAGTAAGAGACTAGTTAAATAAATTCTGGCACACCTGTCCATACACTGAAAACTGCAGCTGTAGGAAAGAATGATGTGAGATAGCCTTGAAGATGTGTGATTAAGTGAGGCAGGCATGCAACAATTGCTGTAAAAGGATTTATAGCGTGTGCCGTGGACTTAGGTGCCAATTCAAACCAGTGGGAACGAGTCCCTTTGGAAAGAGAATCTGTGATGGGAAATTCAGGCATGGAGTAGGGCACATTGCTCTTTTACGTTATCCAAATTGTATATGTATGTGCTTTATCATGTGCGTGCTTTACCTGCCTAAATTTTTGATTTTTAAACAAATTATAAGTTTCTGGCCCTGCCCTCTAAAGAATATGACTTCGCATGTCTGGAATAGGTCTAGGAGTCTGTATTTTTTAAGAACCCAGGTGATTCTGATGTAAAACTAGGTACTGATAAATTGCAGTGTTATTCAGCTCTGTCTCCTAAACTGGAAATAGGAAGAAGAGGAAGGATAATCAACATGGCAGCAGCATAAGATCACAATAGATGCCTCGCTTTTCTGGCTCACTGGGGCCATGGCCAAGGGAAGCGCCATCCTGCCTTCTGGTTGGATGATCATGTAGTTAGGAGAAGCATCGTTCAGATACGAAAACCTGGGTTACAGCTGGGACTGCCAGTACTGATAGACCCTCTAGACCTTAGTGTTCTTCGTGCAGGAAATGAGGGGCACTGACACTCATTAGCCAAAGACCCCCAGGCACATACCCTGCAGTAAGGAGACCACACACCTACCTGGGGGACAGTGTACCATCTTCAGAAGAGAATGAAACAAGGTTGAGCGTGGAGTTAGTCACAGGACAGTTTTGGTAGGAAGTGGTAAAAATGTGTAAGGTACAGAGTGGCTGAAATAGTCTGAGACCTTCTTTATACAACACCTATGTCCATGCAGAGTTACCATTAGGTCATAGTATCTGTGATTTTACCTGGAATGTGTGAATGTGATGTGAACACGCTGGTGTTAACACAGTTTGAGTGTAGTCTGTGATGAGCTTTTGTTCTGGTTTGGGACAGTTTAAGCTGTCCTGTGGGTTTTCATAGTATTTTATGGAAGCTGTGGTTTCATTTAAATACTCAGATCCTCTCCCCTGTTCATCCCAAGATCTGTCAGCAGTAACATTTTTCACTTTTTCAGGGCTCTCTACTAGTAATTATAATTTTGATTCATGATTTTATATTATTTGTAGAAAAACATGCTCAGATTATAGAAAGTTCGGTATACGGCATCGAAACTAGAGTTTACATCACAATAGTCTTTTAATATATATTGTTGTTTTATTGTAATATACTGTATTTAAGATATAATGCATTTAAAACATTGGAAGAAAAATATTGTTACCTCAATAGAAGCAGGAAGACCCTGTGGTATAATTCTAAATTTATTTTTCCCCAGACGCAAATAGGATAGGCTCTTCAAAGCTTTGAAAGCTAAAGGATTGACATTGGCTTCGCTAAGATTGTTTCCTTCTAGTTCTAAGGTGACCAGTTGATTTAAGCCTATAAAAAGTAAAATTACCAGACTGTTAGGAAAATTGAAAAACCATGTAATTTGTACCGGCTTTCAAAATGTCGTGATGAATGTCCAGTTTATTTGGAGGGCAGATGTAGTGTCTTTGTATCTTCCTAGTCTTTTCCCAAGTGCTTTGTACATCCCAGATGCTCAATTCAACCAGCACTAAATGCATGGCCCAGTGAAGAGGCAGGCCTATAAAGAAATCATTGAAATACTACATGGTAAAAATATGTATAAGGAACAGAAGCGAGAGAGAGGACAAGAGTCAGGGGAATTTCCACTGGTTTGAATTGGCTCTGGTGGCCAAGCAGGGATTTGGAATACAGGTGGGCAAGCAGTAGAAATATGTGGAAAATCGTTGGAAGCGTTGCAGCGACATACATGTATGAAGTGGCAGCACGATAGATGATAGGTTGGGTGGGAGTTGAATTTCAGTGAGCGATTTCTTTTTCCAGGACATAGAAAGGAACACTCTCTTCCTGGCAAACCCTCAATCTCTGAACAAGGGAGTCAGAAATAAAGCAGAGCAGTGAATTCCCATCATAGTTATTCACTTAACTGGCACAGAGTGTAGCCAAATGGAAGCTTTGAAAGAAAAATGATTGAAAATTCTCCACGCATTCAGATTGAACTACCAAGAAAGGCCTTTGTACAAACAAGTTTTTTCTACTTTGCTTCTACTGGCCTCAAGAGTGGTATGATCCAGGTCAAATGGAAGCTCAGTACTGGAAAACGGACAGTTTAGAAATGACAATACCCAGAGGCATCTGAGTCAGAGGTTCAGGGTGTGGCCAAGATTCCCAGATTAGGGAATGTTTTTCTATTCAACCCCCTTCATGGGCATTGCACTGAAAGCCGAACGGGACTCAGTCCTACTCTTAGGCAACAGCAAAGTCAGTTGCATTAGGAATTGGGATAATAAATGCTGAAAGATTCAAAGAAGAAAAAGCCATGGAGATTTGAGTGGGATGAAAGTGCTAGGCTCCTGCCAATAGGAAGCTTTAGATAGAAATGGGAGAAACTTCCAGGTTGAAAAAGCAGGTGAAGGACCTATGTGAGTGTGCTCCGGGGGCAAAGAGACTGGCCCAGGGCGGCTGTGCACCGTGGAGTGAAGATTGATGCTTGGGGAGCAGTGCCCCAGGAGGGCCTGTGTGCCCTGGACTGCAAGGTCTGGCTTTCATTCTCTAGGCAGCGAGAAGGTGATGACAGGCAAGAGCCACGTTTCACAAAGATTAATCTGGTGGTAGTGTTTAGGGTCAATGGAAGTAGCAAGGGCAGCCTGTAAACTCTGTTAAGTTGTTATATTTCCTCATATTTTCTTTAATTTCCAAAACTAAACGTACTGCGCGTCCAGCATATTTCTTCAGTACATAGGTCGGGTTTTGAAATGTAGTGGAAGTTTTCCATTGAGAAATAGATAATACAAGTGGACTAATGGTCATGACATGACCTCCAGAGAGAGAAACACAGGGCAAATACAGGACACTGTATTTCTTTGCAGTTATTCTCCGGTGTGTGTAGGAGACAGGAGGTAACAGGAAATAGGATGAATCTAGAGAAAGCTTCTTGTAGGTCAGACTCGAAGATGTTGAGAGAAATATTCATAAGCAGAAAATAGGAAGTCCTCCATAGCAGGCAGGGCCCATGCAGGCTGTGGACTTGGCAGATGACTTGGCAGACAGCAAGACGTGGTTGTCACTAGAGTGGCCACAGTACTGCTGCCTGGGTTGTTTCAGTCGTTCGTGATGACAAGAACGCCTTGAGGCATGTCCAGTTTTCTCTTGTCAGCCCTCCCTCTCCCCGCGTTTATAAGGTCATCCCTCTCTGCTTAGCCCATCTGGAGTGGACTCTGCACCTCTCCAGAGAAGCGTCTGCCCTTGGGCTGCTCGTCACCTGTTCTTCGTTCGTCTTCGCCTGTCTGCCGCTCCCGCAGCATCTAGAATTCCCATGTCTTTGCACCTTTGTGCTGCTTTCTCCCCTGGGAAGACCCTCCTTTCATTCGTTAGAAACGTAGTCTAAACGATTATGAGCAAGGAGCGGCCCTGGGAGAGAAGTCAGAAGAGCAGTGGGCCACTAATAGTCCGGCTGGGGGCTGCCACACAGGAGGGCAGCCTCATGGCTCTGACCTCTGCCAGCCTGGCCACCAACAGCGTCAGGGCTCCCAGGAGCCGCCTCAGCCAGCGGGGAGCCCTCTCCTGAGGGGCCAGCAGCCCAGTAGCACCCAGAGCCCAGCCCACCCAGGGAGCGCAGGGTGGCATTCCGGGCCAGAGGACAGAAAGTCTCTTCTCTGGCCACACGCGCGGGTCAAGGCTCCTTGGTGCTCAGACGGGAACAGGCGGCAGGCCGCTAGTTCGTCCTGGACAGCACATCAGCACCCTGGGAACATAGAAGCATTTGTGCTGAGGGACAAGAGTGTGCTGAGAAGCATTCCAGGGGTGTATGAGAGCGCCTGCAAAATCAGGAACTTGTGTTTGACAATGCATCACTTCGATAACAGCTTGAATTGTGGCTGACTTACAGTTCATCTATAGCCGGTTGGTACACTTGTGCTAAATTAAGTGTTCCCTTTGGTCTTCAGCAGTCAGAAATGGAATTTCCTAATGTCTTTTCCATATGGCAAACCCCATCAAAATTTGTGTTCATTAATATTTTTTTCTGCGTGTCCTGAAATCCATCTGGAAAGTGAGTATTCCCATAACTCTGTAATCCTCAGCCTTGGCAATTCTCATTACTATTTTTCTGTTCTCATCACCAGAAGTGTTTGTTCCTATGAAATTGGGGGGAGCTAAAGGAAATACTTGGGTTGTTTTGTTCCTTTAAAGACTTGATTTATCAACATTTTTACATAATAGATATGTTTCAAATCAAGTAAACAAAGTGTGGAGCACTATACCTCAAGAACTGTGCTAGACCGTTAAGAAGAAAAAGACAAAAATTAGGCGGTCTTTGCCTTAAGCAAACAGTCTAATCAAAGGCAATTAGAATTCGTGAAAAGTAAAATGCGATAAAACCTCTCCTAAACAGTCACAACATGACAACTTTAGCCATCTAGTGCAGACCAGAAACCAGCATAAGAGGACCCAATTTTAGCATAAGAGGACCCAATCAAATGCACAGAACACAGGGCACCCCACTAAAGTCAGTCTGTCAGAAATTCAGGTCATAGTGGCAGCTGCACATCCACATACTGTGAGGTGTGGATGTAGCAGGACTTCAGTGACACACAAGTACCAGATGTTCCAGCCCAAGCCCTCTCAGGAACAAAGCTGCCAAAAACCAAAGTTACTACCTTGAAGTTCGCGTGCTTTCATTGCAGGATAGTGTCTCAGCCTCATAACCTCAGTGCCCATTTATTTATACTTTTTACATAATTTTCATGTGCTCGGCTTTGGTTTTAGGTTCCAGCATATGACAAGTTAATGTAGCAAAATGTGACCGGGCACGGTGGTTTGTGCCTGTAATCCCAGCACTTTGGGAGGTTGAGGTAGGAGGATTGCTTGAGCCCAGGAGTAGAGACCAGCCTGGGTAACATAGCAAGACCTATCTCTACAAAAAAATCAAAACATTAGCCAGGCGTGGTGATGCTCATCTTTAGTCTTAGCTATTCGAAAGGCGGAGGCGGGAGGATCACCTGAACCCAGGAGCTTGAGGCTGCGGTGAGCTGTGGTTGTGCCACTGTACTCCTCCAACCTGGGCGATAGCACAAGAACCTGACTCGAGGAAATAAAAAGCAAAATGTATATGTGGAGGCAGCAAAAGCTGTGGATGGGTGTATTGACCATCAGAGTGATAAAGGCGATCCAATCAACAAACCATGGTACTGATTATTCATCACTAAGAACCAACAATAATGTCAATAGAGAACGCCAAAACACATGGCAGTGTGGGGAATATTTAGTATAACTTTTCAGGTATTATGGATTTATAGTCGAGTTACTGTATTGTGAATGATGAGAACCTGAAAGCATTGAGAAAAAGTTTTAATTTATGGTTAGGGTAGTTTTCTAAGACAACAGGCAGTTTAAAATTCACTTTAAGTTTCACCAGTCAATAGTTAAAATCAGTATGCTCAACTTAAATGGTAAAGTGACTTATAATTTTTTTTACTAGTATTCATTTGGCAATACTGTAAATAAAATGTCTACAAGACTATAGAAGAAACATATCATTAATGAAATAAATATTAAATACCTGATAAACTTTCTTCATCAATTGCCTGAAGGTTGTTCTCATTGATTTTAAGTTCTTCTAATGTAGATGGTAATTCTGAAGGAATCTGTACCAAATTATTTCCATCCATATTCAGTCGTGTTAACTTCTTCAGAAGCTTCCAAAGCAAATGTCACAATCACTGTTTTATTTGGTCGCAGCTGTGCAGTCACATATTTCACATAATGGTTATATTTCATGTAATAGTCTCACAAACCTATACTTCCTCAGGCTTAGACATAATGTCCAGGCCACACGGCATTCCCCATAGGTAGATATCGATCTTGTGGTAACAGTGGTTCTCGGGCATTTTCAGCGACTACATTTGATGATTTTGTAGCCATTCACCTATACTTATATTACAGCTTGAGAGAGTGAAAGAAAGCTGTTATAACCACTGGATCGGTCGTATTTTACTATTAAGTTTTCATCTTCACAGAAGTAGAAATTTCATGAAATCATGCAGTAATTTGAATATGTCATAGATGCTAACAATTAAGACAGCAATTTTAATCCTTTTAACATACTTGCAGCTTCAGTTTTTTAATCTATACTAATCTCTACACTAGAAAGAGGGACATAAAATAACACTGATTACTATGGAAAATTTTCGAAACGAAGTGTTGCAAATATCTATTCCCACATGGCACCCAAGCAGTTGACTGGAAAAGTGTGTTTTCACTTTTGTAGTTGCATGGTTGTCGGGAAAACCTAACCTTCACCACCACAAGTGAGGAGCTGAGGTTGGTCAGGTTTTAGTGAAGTCACATAGAATGATTCACTTCTCCAGTGATCATATTCAAATTTCAACAGTTTTGAATAGGACAGAGAATTCCAAAGAGAGAAAAGGAAGTGATCTCCTACACTGTTTTTCTCTTGATTCATATATAGAAAATGAATTCCCTAATAGCCATTTTCTATTAGAAGGAAGGATAGCATGAAGCAAACCCTTTGAGTCTGTGACACAAATGTGGAACCCTCTTATTTGCCAGCCTATTCTCCAGATGCCAACCGGAACTGAGAATATAAGTAGCCAGTGATTAGTCTGAAGAGTAGACCAAAGACCCAAAAGCCTGTCTAAGGGAATAACTGTTTGAGCTAGTGGGATGTAGTGTGTTTTATTTTTGGATTTAAGACACACACATTTATAAGTTTTTGTTTGCACATGTAAACCCCTCCTCTCTTACTTCTTTGTTTCTCTGAAATTCCTTGAATCCTCTCTTCTTTTCTCCTTAAAAAATGTTTAGTTAAATCTGTATTCAAGGGTTTATTCTATGCTGTTTTCTATTATTTTTCTTTCCCTCCTCTCCCTAACCTATCCCTAATTTGTATCTGAGCTTATTTGTTTTTCCAGAACTTCCTTCTGTCAAAGTGTCCTCCACCAGATCTTACCCATTGCACAAAAATAAGGAAGCGGTGTTTTGCTGGTCTGAAATCTGTTAATAGAGGTTCCATATAAGCTCCACTTTATTTCCAAAAAATTCCTCATGTACTAAAAGACCAGATTTCAACATGTTTTCAGTTTCTTGGGGAGAAACTATTCCATAAATTCAAAACATTAGTTTTGTCACTGATGCTACTATTGGTAGCTTTAGAATGAGGCTAAAATATGTAAGACAACAAACTATATTTAAAAGAAAACTTGAATGCAGTTTAGGGACATGCATTTCTTAGAAGAAAACTACCAGTTAAAAACATTTTCCTTTTCCACCTGCAGCCATTGCCAGTGCAAGTCATAGTGAAGCTGTCCAAATGGAGTGTTAAGTACAAATCAGAGCCTCTATTTACCTTTAATGCTTTTGTACCTATGCCTGAAGAGGTGATATTATTTTTGCTCAGATCAAGCCTTTCCAAATTCGGTAATCCATTAAATGCTTCATCCGGGATGGAGGTGATGGAGTTGCCTAGGACACACAGTGGTTATGTTTTAGTTGCATGTACACACGTGGACAGGTGTGTGAGTGTGCACAGGTATCAAGAGAGAGCTTTATCAGGAGGAGAAAGCAATATTCAGAACAAGGGCAGAGCACATATAAACAAATGCATGTTCAGAAAAACATGGGACTAGACAGTTTAACATAGTTGTACTGTAAAAGCCACATGGTGACCTTCTTGTAAAACCAATCTGCAAACTGGAACCAATCTACATGACCTTCAACTGTTGAGTATGGCCCATCTATACAATGGAACACGACTTGGCAATGAAGTGGAATGAACTACCGATAAACAAAAACAAAATGGATGGCTCTCAACAGCATTAGTAGCCCAACTGATAAAGCTGCATACTGTAATTCTATCTATATGACATTCTGAAAAGACAAAACTTAAGGGACAGAAAACGGGTAAGTTTTCTGTGGTAGAAAGGCTTGGTGGAGAGAGAGACACCATTGGTGGAGGGAATTTGGGGGAGTGGTGGAAATGTTCTATATCTTGCTTATGGTGCTGGCTGTTACATGACTATGCATTTGTCAAAACTCATAGAATTATACAGTAAAAATAAGTTTGAGTATATATAAATTATACCTCATTAAAGCTGACTTTAAAAAGCAGTCCATGGGAAATGAGCATTTGATTTGGAGGAGTTTGTTTTATACCTAAGTATGCTATACAGTAAAAATCTGTCTCTTCTGCAAAGTTTATTTTTATGTTTGAAGATTGTGAAGTTAGTCTGTTCAGCGTCCTTTTTTTTTTCTCTTGAGTTTCCCTCTGTCATCCAGGTTGGAGTGCAGTGGCACGCTTATAGCCACAGCATCCTTGACCTGCTGGGCTCAAGCGATCCTTCCGCCACAGCCTTCCACATAGCTGGAACTGCAGGCATGTGCCACTGTACCCACCTGATTTTTTTATTTATTGTAGAGATGAGGTCTCACCAAGTTGCCCAGGCTGACCTCGAACCCCTGGGCTCTGGCAATCCTCTTTCCTCTGCCTCCCAAATTGCCAGGATTACAGGCGTGAGCCGCCATGCCTGGCCAAAGTCCATCTTTATTATGAAATTAATATACAATGTTCACAGACCAATGAGAGTCATTTACTTTTAAAATCACAAAATAAAGTAGAAGTCAGCATGTCTTACCAATGAGCTCCAGGCTTGTTATCTCTGGCGCGGTCAGTGGTGGTATCTGGGTGAGGATGGTGTCAATGCAGCTGATGGTCCTGTAGGACAGAGAGCATCCATTTGGCAGGTGGGGCCTGCCTCTGGGATGAGCAGGAACTGGGACTCGAGAGGGTGTTCGGAACACATCTCCTCTTACATGGTCCTCTTCCTCCTCCTCCTCCCCGTCTTCCTCCTCCTCTTCCTCCTCCTCCTCTTCCCTCCTTTCTTGGTGTTGCTGCTGATGTGCCAGCCTGCCTTCTTCTCCAGGCCTCTGCTTTCTCTCTCCTTCTCTGCTTTCTGCCTTGTTATGATGCTTCCCCTGATCTGTAGGTCGAGGGCGCTCCTTCTTTTGCTTTTTGTCTTCTTTAATTTCTTCTTCATCCTCCTCAGATTGAGGTGCTTCTTCTCTTAGTGTCTGGTCCATTTCCACCTGGGGAGGTGGCAGTTGCTTATGAAGCAAATTGGTAGTTTCTCTTTGTTCTGAAGAATCACCAGAAAATTCAGTTCTATCACTTAATGCTATGTCACTGAGTAGAGAATAGGAGACTAATGACCACACAAGGAGGAGGTAGCAGGGGCACATTGATGATATTAATAAAGGAAAAATCGTAATGAAAATGAGGTTAGCGAATATTATTCCCTCCAAGTATTTGAGTGCAACTTAAAGATGATATGCACCTTAAAATCTTTGCTTTAAAAGTTTTAATGGTTACTTCATTTCTATTTTATAAGGTGTTACAGAACTATAGGCATTATTACTAATTTTTATATTAAATTACTTAATACTTATTTTGCTAAGATATCATGCTATCTGATGACTAAAGAGGGAATAATATTACCATGTGATGCAAAATGGTAAGCAGTTCTTTTGTAAGACTATGATATAATCAGATGTGATACCTTTATAATAGATACTGTTCTGTTAATTGGGACTGTCGATAATGTAATAACGTATAGACTGTCATCAGACATAAAAGTGAAACAGATATATATTTTGCTTGATTGTGGCAGTGAAACTGACTTGTTTATAGATTTGTTATTATTTTTGTCCAATTTTCTTTCAGTTCTATGAGCCAAATAGCATCCTTTGAAATTCATAATTATAGGGAGAAAGTTCTCCTTTTCTTTCCCAGACTCTCTACTTAAATCCTTTTTATTGTCTGAGACGTACACGTGACATTCTGGATTTCAACTTAGACTTTGCTTTAACTTAGACATATGTACAGGAATGCTGTGTATCCTTCCATGACGATGGGGATAGAATAGGTAATAGCAAAAAGTTCATCTACATTTAGATGTAACAGTTGTGGCTTTGGCAGAAAGTGGGAAAGACATGATAAAGGCTATATTCAGATTCACCCTTTGAGTAAAGAGTTCTAGGAAGAAGTGAGTTCTGTCAAAGTTTGTAAATTTTCTTAATCATCTCCCTACTCTCATTGAATCGTATGTGCAACCTACTCCCATAAAGAACTCAGAATATATAATTGTTTGAAGAAATTACTTGAGATATCAATTCAGTATATATTATAAAGTCTAAGTATTTTCACATCTCTAGCAAAGCATGCAGAAGAACAGGAAAAAAATTAGTGAAAGGAAACTAAAGCCTATCTTATTGAAACATTTAAAATCTTTTCCTTATATCCAAGTTTATCCTTCCAAAATAACTACAACACTTCAAGAATACCTAAGTCCTTTGAAAAATGTCTGAGAATGCCTCAGTCTTACCTTATAAACCTTGCACCTCACCCTAAGGAGTTCACTTCATTAAGCTTTTTTTTTTTCCTGAGTCGTGGCACGCTCACGGCCACCCCAGCGTCAACCTGCTGGACTCCGGTGATCCTTCCACCTCAGCCTTCCAAGTAGCCGGAACTACAGGTGTGCGCTACTACACCTGGCTAATTTTTTGATTTATTGTAGAGACAAGGTCTCACTATGTTGCCCGGGCTGGTCTTGAACCCGCAGGCTCAGGCAATTCTCTCGCCTTGGCCTCCCAAAGTCCTGTGATTAAAGGCTTGAGCCACCATGCCTGGCCAGCATTTTTATTTTCTTACATTTTTAAAAACATAATACTTTAGTGAAATAATTGGTAGTATAAAGCAAAATATAATTCCTAAATATTCTAAAGTTTTTCTTGGAAGGAGACTCATAGACATCTACCCTATGATTATCTGTTTGCATGACAGCAATCTACCCTGGTTATAGATGAGAGAAAATGTCCCTAACCTTTCTCATCAAATTATATAACAAGTATTTATTTGTTTATTTTCAGAAGGTATTGGTTAGGCTTTTCTTGGAGGACACTGGGCCTTCCTCCCAGGAGTCCTCCACTCAGTCAGGTGTGAGCCTCATTGGAGCAGGGATCCATGAGCCCCCAACAAAACCCACAGACATCACACACAAAGCCGTGCTCCAGGCCATGCCTTTGTATTTCCAGGGGATTATTCAAGTAGTGATGTGGGCTCCTGTGCCACCTCTGAATGGCTGGAAATAACTAGGAGGGCTGGGACTTTGTTCTCTCCAGATGCAAATCACTCCTTCTTTGTTCACCCCGACTTCAAGATGATAACTGTGCCCCCATGTTGAGTTGGATTAAGTGTGATGATGCATATACACACCAAAGCCGAGCCTTAACTCATAATAAGAATTCAGGATCTACTAGTTGTAGAAATTATCTTACTATATTTCAAAAGCTGAGAGTCAAACACGGAATGTAACTGGTCTAAATTTACTCAGTCTGATAGAGCTAGAACTGTAAAGCCGCTGTTTATTATTTGTCTCCTACCATACATTTTCCCATAGTTTAAATACCCAGAAGACTAGCTTATCATCCATTTTTTAAAACTTAAATTGGTTTAAAAATTAGACAAAATAAAAACAAATGAAAGTTAAAGTCTAAATCACACATGATATTTTGCTTAAGCTATATCTTTATACCAGTATCAGAGCAGACTGGGCAGCATTCTCCTTCAGGTGTAATAACTTTGGGACATGTCTGGGGGTGGCACATGGTTTCATCACAGAGTACTCTTCCCTCTGAGCAGAGGCATGTCGTGCAGGGCTCAGGAGACCATACAGCTTTGTTGTACATAGTCATGCCCTTGACCAAGCAACGTCCCTTCTTTCCTAGAAGAAAGCAAAAATACACAGTGAAATTTCTTTCTTTCTTTTTTTTTTTTTTTTGACAGTTTACAAAATAAGTTTTATTCTTAAAATGTCAATGTCATGTAAATGAAATGAAGGCTAAGGAACTGTTACAGATTAAAGGTGCCTCAAAACACCTAACAACTAAAGACAGTGCATGATTTTGAAAACAGTGCTATTAAGGATGTCAGGTGAAATATGAGCTTACATTACTGTATTAATGTTGTTTTCTGCTTTTGACGACTGTGTTGGAGCAATAAAAGAGAATGTCCTTGCTCTCAGGAAATGCACACTTAAGAACTTGGAGGCAAAGGGGCATGATGTCTATAATTTACAATGAAATTTCTTGTGTGCTTACAAGAAGCTTTGAATGGAAGTGAACACAATGTGAAGTCAAATTGATATGACAACATAAGAATAGAATTCTGTGTGCATTTATGCACAGCATAAAATAATCTTACAGACATTGCCCTCTGAAATGCTATTCACTGGTATTCCTCTCGGCCCCCTCACTTATCCTCTGAGAGTGACCTCTGCACAGTAATGTGACTGCTTTTACCTCCATTCTGTATCTATTAGGATAAGCTAAGTTATACAACAGCAGCAAACAACTCCCAAATGTTAGTTATATTTTTCATTTACACCACATGTCTAATATAGAACACAGGGACTCAGCTCATGGTAATCACTCAGGCTTCTTCTACAAGCAGGCTATCCTGATCACTGAAGCTGTTAGTGCTAAAAGAGTCTAGCTATATTGGTCAAAAAAAATTGGATGGCTACATATAACTTCAGAAGGGGCCAGGGAGTGCAGTTCCATCACATGCTCAGAGAGCTGAAACAGCGCTGATGACAAGTTTCATAGCCCACCTTGATGTGCAGATGCGGAAAGGAGAAACAAGACAGCATGCTCTGTGACACTTCTCAATGAGACATGCAGCTGTCTCTTTCATGAGTTACTATGTTATTGAAATATTATCCACATACTGTAGTATTCACCCTTTTAAAATACACAATGCAGTGGTTTTATTATATTCATTTCTCTACATACAGAATTGTAGATATGTGGATAAGTATATCAGCTAAAGCGTTCATGGGGAAGCTTTTCTTCCAACCCTAATGTCATTCCAGATAACTTTCTTCCCTCTGACCCACTGTTCCCAAATTCCGCCCCCAAAAGAACCTCTCACATTGGTCCCTTCCTTTCTGCCACCCTAACTCAGCCCAATTCAAGCTCTACCCATCTCTCATTTGGATACTTGCAGTAGACTAATTCCAACCACCTCCTCTGAAAAAAAAAAAATACACATAGGAGTTTTTTCCTAATTGTAAAAGCACTATATCCTATCAAAATTTCAGTGTTGTTTTTTTTTTTTCCTGCAGAAATGGAAAGGTTGTTCCTAAATTCATATGAAATTACAAATAGCCAAAACAATCATAAGAAAAAAGAACAAAGTTGGAGGTCTCACACTTCCAGATTTCAAAAGGCTTCCTCTAAAGCTTTTTTAATCAGCTTATGCCAGTGTGATACTGGTGTAAGCCTAGACATAGAAACCAATGGAAAATCATACATACATCTATGGCCAACTGATTTTTAAGAAGGTTGCCAAGACCATTCAATGGGAGAAATAATAGTCTTTTCAAAAAATGGTGCTGGAACAACTGGATATCCATATGTGAAAGAATGAAGTTGAATTCCTACCTTATACCAAATATAAAAATTAACTCAAGATGACTCAATGATCTAAACATAAGAGCTAGGTCTTAAAAGCTCTTAAAAAAAAGACATACGAGCAAATCTTTATGAGCTCATATTTGACAATGGATTCTTTTGCTTCTTAAGTTCAAGAAGCAAAAGAAGACAAGACCCCATCTCTACAATAAATCAAAAAATCAGCCGGACGTGGTAGTGCATGCCTGTAATTCCGGCTACTTAGAAGACTGAAGTGGAAGGATCGCCGGAGCCCAGCAGGTCGTGACTGCAGTGGCCAGGAGCAGCCACTGCACTCCAGTCTGGGTGACAGAGTGAGATTCCAACTCAAAAGAAAAAAAAAAAGAAGCAAAAGAAAAAGATAAATTGGACCTCATCAAAATTTAAAATTTGGCACATCAAAGGACATCGTCAAGACAGTGAAAAGTACCTGCATAATGAACATTTGTATACCTGATCCTGAATTGTACCCCACATCTACAAAATTAAAAAAAAAAACAGTGAAAAGACAATGTACACCATGGGAGAAAGTAATTACAAATTCTATATCTAAGAATCTGATATCCAGAATATACATACAAATCTCATACAATTCAACAACAAAGACAACCTTATTTTTAAACTGGGCAAAAGTCTTGGATAGACATTTCTCCAAAGAAGATGTACAAATGGACTACAAGCACATAAAAAGATACTTAAGTGTCATTCATCATTAGGGAAATGCAAATCAAAAGCACACTGAGATACCACTTTACACCCACAAAAATGCTATAATAAAAGTAATTAAATAATGCTAGTGAGAATGTAAAGAAACCGGAATCCTTGTTCATAGCTGATGAATATATAAAATAGTGAAGCTGCTTTGGAAAACATTTGGCAGTTCATCAATAAATTAAATATAGAATGACTATATGCCCTAACTGTTTCACTCGTAGGTGTATACCAAAAAGAAATGAAAATAGGCGTTGAAATAAAACTTGTACTGAATGTTCACAGCTGTGCTATTCACAGTAGGCAGAAACAACCCAAATGTCCATCAAGCAGTTATGTGGATAAACAAATGTGCTATATTCATACAATTAAATATTATTCGGCTGTGAAAAGGAATGAAGTTCTGATACAGTCTAAACATGGAAGAACCTTGAAAACATGCTAAGTGAAGAAGCCAGATGCACAAGGCCACGTATTATGTGATTCCATTCATATTAAATTTCTGGAATAGACAAGTTCAGAGAGACTGAGAGAACAGATTCGTGGTTGTCAGGGTCTGGGGATAGGGAAGAATGAGGAGTTTATGTACACAGTTTCCTACTGGTGTGATGCAGATTTTCAAAAACTGGATAGAGATGATGGTTGCACAGTATTGTGAATGTATTAAATGCCACTGAGTTGTATACCTTAAAATAGTTAAAATGGTAAGTTTTGTGATATGTGTGCTAATACAGTAAAAAAAGAATGTTAAGACCATTGGAAAACATTTTTTTTAACAATTCAGAAATGTTTAGTATACACCTTATACACTTTTGTATACATACCACCTTTTAGAATGTTTAAAAAATTTTTAAAGCAGGTTTGAAATTACATTATGAATACTTACTTTTGGCCTTTTTACTTTTCATTATTATAACTTAGATATTTTTCCTCTTAACTACGGAAATTGACCTCATCGTTCTTTAGCAGTTATGGTTACACTATTATTACAATAGTTTTTATTTGGTTTCTCTGCCTCTTTTCCCATTCATGTTGTAAAACTTGCCTAACTTGCCTTTTTTCATGATAATTGTATGTTATTTCTGTTGACTTCATGGAAATAAGAATGTAGAAACACTTAGCTTTTTAAGACAATGTATGAAGTATCAGCCACAGAAAATTATATAGTGATATTTTCTTTTGTCTTTTGAAAGTTTTATTTAATGGTAACATACCTATAATACAGTTATTTTTTTCTTCCAAATGTGGAAACATATGGATTGTTAAATACTAGTTTTTAAAAGTGCCTAGTTGAAATCTTTGGCACAATTTTCTATTTTTCAACTTTTAAAAAGTAAACAGGTTATTCTATATAAAATAAATAGATATAATTATATTATAATATATATTATATATTAATACATATGTTGTATATTATATAATATGTAATTATTGGCTTCATTTGTGGTTGAAAGTTTTTGACTGAGAATATTTATAGGCATGTGTTAAGAAAATCATCTGAATAATTTATTTCTATATTCTTCTAGAGGATCTAGCATTGTAAATGAAAAAGCGGTTTACAAATGCATATGTATATTATCTCTGTCCTGATTACTACTACTTAATATACATGCATACAAAATATGCTGGTGCCAGGCACAGGGGCAGGGGCTCATGCCTGTAATTCCAGCACTTTGGGAGGCTGAGGTGAGAGGATTGCCTGAGCTCACGGATTCAAGACCAGCCTGGGCAGCTTGGCGAGACCTCATCTCTACAATAAATCAAAAAATTAGCTGGGTGTGGTGGCATATGCCTGTAGTTCCAGCTACTTGGAAGGCTGAGGTGGAAAGATCGCCTGAGCCCAGCAGGTCAAGGCTGAGGTGGCCGTGAGCATGCCACTGCACTCCAGCCTGGAAGACAGAGTGAGACTTCAGCTAAAAAAAAAAAAACCAAAAAAACAAACTGGAAAGAAATATACCAAAATAGATGATTTTGTAAGTATAGTGATATAAGTAACTTTTTTCGATAATTTTATATTATAAGTATGTTCCTTAAATGATTTTTAAAATTAATTTTAAAATATATCTTTGTAGATTAAACCAAAAGGTAATGCAATAACTTGCAGTTTTCTTTGGAAAATTATCTTCATAGAGGTATTCTCCCTCCCTGGTTCTCTTTCCCCACCTCCCTACCCTTCCTTCTTCTCTCCCATACTGTTCTTACCTGGCAACACGTTGTAGCTTGATTCTACTCCAAGAAAACTTGAAAAGGGTTCAAACTTTTCCTCCACACTATAATCAGAGTTAACAATGGGAAATCTTGCTACTGTTGTTGCTTGTGGTATTCCAAGCTGTCTGTTTGATCTGTGCTTGGGTGAGCTTGAACTTTTTCTCAGTCTTCTGTGATACATTTTCTTTCTTTGCTTCCTAGGGGTTTCTTCATTTTGTCCAAAGTCAGTTTGAAAAATGATAAGCAGGACAAAAAACAACAAAACAGCAAACTTCATGTTTGATTTTTTTTTTTTTTTACCAATTTCTAGAATGAAACAAAATTTTAAAGTTAGTGGTGACTAAAATACCTCTGAAAATTGGCTTATAATTGTTTGTATGCCTCAGTAGGCAAGTCTTTGAGAAATAGCATGTATATGAAATATGCGAGAGTATTATTGCCAGATCATAATTTGGAATTCTTCTGTCAGATTCAATTAACTTTTCATATCTTTATCTCTATTCCGGGAATGAGCAAACTTTTTCTGTAAAGGAACAGATAGCAAATATAGGCTTTATAGGCTGTATACTCTCTATTATAACTATTAAGCTCTGCCACTGTATCACAAAAGCAGACATAGACAAATGAGTGTGACTGTGTTCCACTGAAACTCTCATTACCAAAAAAAAAAGGCAGCAGATCAGTTTTGTTCCCCAGGCTGTAGGTAGCTAGCCCCTTTCTGGTCCCCACTGTTCTCTAGGTTTTCAAAAATTACTTGGGAGAGTTCTTTCCGCCTGTCTGCTAAGGTATTTTGTGACTAATGTCATCTACAATCTTTCCCGGCCCTTCTGTCTTATTCTTTTACTCATTAGCTTTATAATTGCCTGGAGGGAGGATATGATGATTGTACCATATAAAAATAACAGTAGACTGGCATCAATTATAAGGAGGTAAGAGGCGGGAAGAGTAACTTTTTTTTTTTTTTTTGGAGTTGGAGTCTCACTCTGTCGCCCAGACTGGAGTGCAGTGGTTGCTCCTGGCCACTTACTGCAGCCTCAACCTGCTGGGCTCCGGCGATCCTTCCGCCTCAGCCTTCCGAGTAGCCGGAATTACAGGCATGTGCTACCACGCCTGGCTGATTTTTTTATTTATTGTAGAGATGAGGTCTCGCTGCCCAGGCAGGTCTCAAACCCACGGGCTCAGGCAATCCACTCACCTCAGCTTCCCAAAGGCGCAGGATTACAGGCTGAGCCACCGAGCCCGGCTGAAGAGTAACTCTTAATCAGCTCAAGGACAGTACGGGGCCCTGCACATGATAAAGCTGGAAAACTGTTTAAAAAATGAATTGTTAGGCACTCTTGGTGATATAGTGACATAGTGGTCAGACAGGCGAGTGCCATCCTTGTAAAGCCAGGTAGCAGGGGCAGGTTAAGAGAACTTCTCCGGGTGGTTGCAAGGGCTGCAGTCAAAGGATAACCCCGCCAGTCTCTCCTGGCCCAAAGTTGGTCCTGCAAGGGAATGCTCTGCTGCCTCTCAGCTCAGCACCTGAGACCCACTTTTGTCACATATGCCCCTCCACCTTGCAGCTCTTCTCCTGTTCTCTACTCAGGTCCACCCACTGTCAGGATTCTCCTCCGCAGCCAGGGTGGAGGAGAAGCTGAAACCCCAGGGTTTGTAAGAACCCAAGTCATAAAAACTTTGCTGCTGTTGTTTTTAATGGAACTTAAAGTATTTTATTATTCAAGAAGGTTAAAGTAATGGTCTTGCTTAGTGATGAAATTATCCCAATCCTCACAGGCCTGCCATTGTCCCATTCATTGACCAGAACTAATCTGTAATGGGCAGAAATGGTAAAGGTTTAAGTTGATGTTACTACACAGATTAAAACTCTAAGCTACAAAGGAGGACCTTTGAAGGATTGAGGGGCAACAAGTGGCCACAGACTGTTAACCCAGCCATCTTGTTGGAAACTTAAAAAATAACTGAGAGAGCCAGGCTCGGTGGCTCAGCCTGTATTCCTGTGCTTTGGGAGGCTGAGGTGAGTGAATTGCCTGAACCCGCAGGTTCGAGACCCGCCTGGGCAACTTGGCGAGGCCTCATCTCTACAATAAATCAAAAAATAGCCGGGCGTGGTAGCGCGCGCCTGTAGTTCCAGCTACTTGGAAGGCTGAGGCGGAAGGATCGCCAGAGCTCAGCAGGTTGAGGCTGCGGTGGCCGGGAGCGTGCCACTGCACTCCGGTGTGGGCGACAGAGTGAGACTCCAACTCAAAAAAATAACAATAACTGAGAGACCCTCCAAGCATTTGACTTAACCTTCTGTTTGACCATTTGAGCAAAGAAAGCGCAGTTATGTACCACAAAATGACATTTCAGTCCACGACAGACTACATATACCGTGGTTGTCCCATAAGATTATAATAGACCTGAAAAATTTCTATTGACTGGTGATGTCATTTTAAAGTCATAACATAATGCATTATTTTCGTGTTTGTGATGATGCTGATATAAACAAACCTACTGAGTGGCCAGTTGTATAAAAATACAGCACATAGCAATTGTGTGCCGTACATGATACTTGATAAGGATAATAAATGATTGTTACAGGTTTATGTTTAGAGTGTACTCCTCTTTATTTTAAAAAAAGTTATTTATAAGAAAAAGTTAACTGTGAAACAGCCTTAAGTAGGTCCTTTAGGGAGGTATTCCCTAAGAAGCATTGTTGTCGTATGAGATAACAGCTCCCCGCGTGCTACTGCCCTGAAGACCTTTCAGCAGGACGAGATGTAGGTGTGGAGCACAGTGATGATTCTGACCCTGGGCAGGCCTAAGCGAATATTTGTGCTTGAATCTTATTTTTTAACAAAAAAGTTTGCAAAGTAAAAAAAATATATTTTAAAATAGGAAAGCGCTTATAGAATTAGGATTTAGAGAAAGAAGATTGTTTTTTATACAGTCGTACAACGTGTGTTTGAAGCTGCTTTTTTTTTGATGGTGGTGGTGGTGGTGGTGGTGTTGCCATTTTTATTTAATCAAGGTAAGTACATATAGGAAACAAAACTTATTGGAGAGATTCTCAGAACCATACCAAAAGCATCACAGATATCATACAATTTTCTCAGTTGTCTTCCAAGGCAGGTATTTTAATCAGCTTTACATTTTATTTATTTATTTTTTTCTCTGAGCTGGAGTCTCACTCCGTCGCCCAGGCTGGAGAGCAGTGGCACACTCATGGTCACCCCAGCGTCGACCTGCTGGGCTCAGGCGATCCTTCTGTCTCAGCCTTCTAAGAAGCCGAAACTATAGTTGCCCAGGCTATTCTCAAACCCGTGGGCTCAGGCAATCCCCCCACCTTGGCCTCTCAAAGTGCTGGGATTCCAGGCTTGAGCCACTGCACCCAGCCAGCTCCACATTTGAGATATGACAATGGAGACTGAGAAAGACTAAGTGGCTCAAGATCATAAACTGGGAAACTGCAGGGAGAGACTTGAGTCCAGAACAGACTTCATCCAATCTGTTTCATTCAGAAGAAAATTTAAAATTTTCCTGAAACAAATGAAGATGGAAGCACAACATACCACAGCCTATGAAATACAGCAAAATCATTGGTAAGAGGGATGCTTATAGCAGTAACACCTATATCCAAAAAAGTAGAACAACTTCAAATAAACAACTTAATAATGCACATTAAATCACTAGAAAAGTGAGAGCAAACCATATCTAAAATTTGTAGAAGAAAAGAAGTAATAAAGATCACAGCATAAATAAATGAAATTGAGATAAAAATACACAAAAAAGTTGTTTTTCTGAAAAGATAAACAAAATCGACAAGCCCTTAGAGTAAGAAAAAAGAGAGAAGACCCAAAAGCTAAGTACTATTGCAAAAGAGTTAAATTTTTTTAAAAATTAAAAAGTTATAAAGTAAGAAAGTTACAGTATACTAAGGTTAACTTAACATAGAAGAAAGAAAAATATCTTTTTATAAATTTAGTGTAGCTTAAGTGTACAGTGTTTATAAAGCCTATAGTAGTGTGAATTAATATTCTAGGCTTCACATTCACCACTTAATCACTGACTCACCAGAGCAACAAGTTCCATTCATGGTAAGTACCCTATACAGATATACCATTTTTTATTTTTTATTTTTTTTTTTTGAGTTGGAGTCTCATTCTGTCACTCAGACTGGAGTGCAGTGGCCACTCCCGGCCACCGCAGCCTTGATCTGCTGGGCTCCGGTGATCCTTCCGCCTCAGCCTTCCAAGTAGCTGGAACTACAGGTGCGCGCTACCACGCCCGACTAATTTTTTTATTTATTTATTGCAGAGATGAGGTCTTGTCAAGTTGCCCAGGTGGGTCTCAAACCCGCGGACTCAGGCAGTCCACTCACCTCAGCCTCCCAAAGCGTTGGGATGACAGCCTGAGCCACCGAGCCCAGTCCATTTTTTATCTTTTATACCTCATTCCTACTGTACCTTTTCTATATTTAGATGCACAGTTACTTATGGTTGTATTGCAATTGCTTGCTGTATTCAATGCAGTCGTATGCTGTACAGGTGTATATCCCAGGAGCAACAGACTGTATTATATAGCTTAGGTGTATAGTAGGCCATACCATCTAGGTGTGTATAAGTACACTCTATGATGTTTGCACATTGATGAAGTTTTCTACTGATGCATTTCTCAGCATGTATGCCCATCGTTAAGCTACACATGTCTGTAATCTGTTGCTATCCAAATGCTACTATCTTAGAGGTCTACTTCACAACCTAAAGCAAGCTGTGGAAAATTCCAAGGGCATCTAAATGGAAAACCATGTGCTGGAGGCGATGCATGCCTTTCTTAAGCCTCAGCGTCTACCACCTAAATGTTTAGGAAATGCACGGTGATCAGTGTCAAGTGTGGGAAAATATTCTGGTTTTCTCTTAGTAGAAATGTATAATAGTATTAGCAAACACAGGGTTTCCACCCTGGATCTTTGCCCTAGGTATAAATGCCACTAACTGACTTATTTCTGACATTCTGCCATATGATACATCACCTGATGACCAAGAAAATAAGCACTGTGTCATGTTTTACACACTGACTCACCAGAGCAACTTCCAATCCATCACTACATTACCATAATATTTCTACCAGTTTGACAACTGTAACTGGAGTGGCTCCATGAAGTAGCAACTCTTGGTGTCTGCGTAATATGTTTTTGGTTTCAGCCTCTATATTTTTTATGTACTTTGTATTAGTAGCATGTCATGGGGTTTTTGAATGCAGTCTAACAATCTTTGTCTTTTAATGGTACATTTAGTCTCTTTATATT